AAAGAAAACTAAATGAGAACTAAACATACCTAAACACCTGGTTACTGTACACCTGAACAAGAAACAAATATCGAATAAATAAGGAAATGTCCGATGCAATAAAAGCCAGTTCTCATTATTGCTGAAATATGAACCTTATTTTATCTGACTTAATTTTTGAGGTTGCATGTCCAATCCTTTAGCACCAATATTATGTCAAGTTTCAAAAATGGCAGATTCTGCCACAGACTGAAACTATGATATACAACCATTACATACAACCTTTATATATACAAAGGTTATATAAAGGTCGTATGTAAAGTCTAAAAAAGGTCATTCATGATACACTGTTAAAATTTTCATTCTAAAATTATGGTAAAATAACTGGTCTGCCCATCCAATTAACCGTAAAGTTTACGGCAATAAGCAATTCTTTCCTTTATGGTTTTTAGTAAAGTATGGTTATAAAATCATGAATACAAAACTATACGGTTTTTTAACAGTTTGCATTTTTCAAAAACAGGAAGAAAGAAAACTAATTCTTTAACTAAACATAAGAGCTCGTAAGGTAGTGGGAGAGTGTCGGAAATTGAAGGGAGGGACTGTGTCGGTCATGGGATGGACAGATAAAATATGATACGCAGGTGCAAAGTAGCTTCATGAGGTGGTTCCAGTGGGGGGCGATGAAATTCTAGTTGTTTAAGATGAAAGCAGTTAATAAACAGTTTTTCTCAAGCTTTATTTACGGTCATTTGACTATTTCGATTAAATAGGGTGAAATAATCATTCTATAAATTGTTATTTAACCACTTTTTTCGAGAAATTTCTAAGAGTGTATTCAAATGACATCCGGTCGGGATGGCTCAGGGGCCTTCCATTGATATAAACCGGGTTCGAATCCCTCCAATGGCTGGTCCATACGAATCCGCCTTGCACAGACCACAAAACTGACGCGAAATATCCTCAGTGGTAGACGGGTCCCTTTACCACCAGGCTAACCTTGAGAGGTTCTCGTGGTCGTCCTCTCCCTGTCACGCACATGCGGGTTAGTTCCATCAAAAAGTGCTCCAAGAAGGCAAATTTCACACAATCCAGGAGTTCCCTTGTCTTCTGGATCGGGTTCAACGACGGTTATAAAATAAAATAACAAAAATGACACTATTTTGAAGATTTTGTAGCGTAAATGCAGCTATTTAACAATTTTCGCGACTAATAAAAAAGCATTTTTTCGGTTATTGTAGCTTTCATGCGGCCTGGGGGAAGTTCCTAATCTCTGTACAAATTATTAAACCCACTCTATGTAAAATCTTAATTATCAGGTGATTTATTGTTTTTATGTAACTGAAACCTTGTTTAAGTTAATTGGTTAACATTGCAATTCAATACGTTATGAATAAATACAAATAGGAAGTATCTCATGAATAAAAACCTATTACATTTGTGTTTAAGTATTGCCTATATAAACTCGTGCAAATCGTGTCATTATTAAAAAAAGTATAGTGCGTCTAATATTTTGTTCTAATTATTATAATATACTAACATAATGCTAGATATAATAAATATTTTGTATTTATTTAATAATTCGCCTGATCGAATTTCTATTATATATCTTGTTTAATTTAACCAATTGATACACGAAGGTAAACAAGCTTTTAAAACATGGAAGGTGTATAGCATCACCTGATAATTAAGATCTGCCCAATAATTTATCTATAGTTAAAAAGTCCTTAAAAAGGGTCGCGACTCTTCTCTCATTTTCTATGTTTTTTAGCCGGCTTTTAATTGGCATTTTAATTTTTGAAGTGATACTTCTTATGCGACTTCCAACAAGGTTGCGTTAAACGTTTAAGGCTACATTTTTAATTGACCGGGAAATCACGTGGTAGGATCCAGTTTTCCCTCATTCATTTCCATATTGTTTTGGTTCTCACTAGCATAAAAATAATAAAAGTCATAAAAGTATTGTTTTTCTATAAATATTTTTTTAGTTTGTTTTGATACACATATAATTTAATAGGGTAGTATTTTTTATTTTCAAATTTAGTGGATAACAATTGTAAAAAATGAGTGAAAACAATCCCACGGACAATGCGACGGACTTAAGGTTATGTCAAGGTACGTCTCTTGTGAATATCAATTGATTGTTAGATTTTCTCTTCTGAAATTACATTAGGACGCATTCACATACATTATTAATGCAAATACATTTTCCAGGGCGAGACGATGAGACAACCACAAGCACTTCCACTGGTTCAAGAGGTGAAAAATACACAATATTACCGTGATTACAGAGCACGGAAGCGAGCGGAGCAGGAAAAAGAGTCGTTGAATAGAACTAGTGATCCTTCTACGACTACTGCTTCTTCTACAATTAATGTCGCAGGTTGCGAAGTTTAACTTCTTCCGCGCGGAGGGACTCCACGCACTATTTTTTTTTTATATTATCATGCGTTGTTTGAGTTATGTTAAAAAAAAATTAATTATTGATACCTGTACAAAAAGTTATGTTGGTAAAAGTTTTTTTTTTTTAATATTTCTATTAATGTATTTTTGTCATTAAAATTTCTTTTATCTTAATATAAATAACCTTTTTATTTTATTCTACAGAGGAATGTTAGTGTTGATGGAATTTAAAAATCAAAATTTAGATTATTCTCCGACTAGCTAGAGAACTCAAAACAGTACTAAAGCTCCATGCCCGATGTCAATCCAAGATTCTATTCTATAATTTCCTATTCGCTACCAGCAGAGCTTGTCATGATTTTTTCGTCAATTAAAATTTTCCGACTGTTTTACGAATAGCTAGAGCACTCAAAATTTAACTAAAGCGGTTTTCTGACTTCTATTTGCATTTGACTTCTATTTGCAGCAATTAGATACAAATAGAATTTATCACGCATTTATTGAAAACTATTTTTCTTTCAAATTTTCAACCATTTTCTTGAAAACTAGAGTGCTTAAATAATAAGAGCCCATAGGCTATTCAACCCTTGCCAAAACAATCAGAATTTATCATACTATCACGCAGTTAATCGATCGCTAGTGAAAATTTTGCCCCCTTTCCGAATAACTAGAGTGTTTAAATCTCGTTAAGAGATTCGAACCTGATGTAAAATCATTATTTCCCGTCAAAAGCAAAATTTACTACAAGAAATTTATGGTCTGAGTCTACAATAAATTTACTGATGGAAGGCTTCCATTTAAAGCTCTACGACATCTCAAGTTTTAATTGCTTCTTACATAAACTACATGCAGATTTTAAAATTGCCAAAAATCTCTTCAATCGACTATTTTGCAACACTGTTAGATGAATATCCTTGTTTCAAACCTTTCTAACCCTATAATTTATAAGACCCAGTGAGTCTCATTTTCGACCACTTTCCGACTCGTTAGAGTGCTCACATTTCAACAGGATTTCTCTGTGTCTGATGACAATTATTTTCTAAATAGTTTGAGCTCAATTCATAACCTAATGTAATTTTTGTACTTCCCGCAGGCACAAACTTAGGAATTTATCTAGCAGGCACAAACTTAAATTTAAAAAATGATAAAAAATCTTGAAAACTATTTTTATCAAAATGGATGTGGGGGGGGGAGGGGAATGATAAGAATAAATTGATTTCTGACCTAAGAAAAGATTTTCATCATAAACTCTCCCATCATAAATAAACACACACCTCTAAAAATCATCTCCTCTATATCTTTTGAAAGTGATGCGCCTTATTCCATTTCCTAACTTAAAATATCGTCTGCGCTAACTAATTTTATTTTATTTTATTTTATAACCGTCGTTGAACAGCCGACCCAATTTCATGGGTTTACGACTACTTACGTTCAACTCCGTAGCCTTGTAATTTTGAACCAATCCAGAAGACAAGGAAACTCCTGGATCAGTACCCCCAGAGGTATTGATTTGTTGTGGGAACATGGAGGACTTTGAGACTCGACAGATTTAACGTGCATCAGTCACCATTTACTACACGGGGAGTCTTCGGCCGGCGAGGATCGAACCCACGACCTCTTGGATATATGGGCCCAGCGTCCTACCGACCAGACTATCCCGGCCCCGCGCTAACTAATTAGCAAATTTAAGTCCATTCCCTCAAAACCATTAAGATCGAGTCCTAGTTCGTGAAAATTGAAGCATTTGGATCAAAGGGTGTTTCGCACTATAAACACTGAATATTTCTTGACATCCCTTTTTAGTTTGTTTGACAGACAAAGTATGGTGAATGTCCAAATTTCCTCAAGAATGACGATTGCATCTTGATCATTCATATCAATAACGTGCAAAATCAGTTCTCCCCGAGAATTATTAGAGAGTGAAAGTGAGCCGTACTGTGGACAAACTCTTTCTTTCCTCTCTCAAAATAAATTATTCTTCAAATTAGCTTTCATGAGGATAAACCACAGTCCATATTAATAGACTCGCTGTAAGATTCTATGTAAAATTATAATTATCATGGCCTATACAGCTTTATTGTTTTTACTCGGATGATTTGCATTTCTTTACACTCCTGTATCAATGGGTTAACACTGTAATGCAATACTATAAAAGTAGAAGCATGTAAGAAATCTTCCCCATGACATGTATGTTTAACTATAAAAGTATTGCCTGTGCAGATCATGTCATTATTAAAAAAACTACAATTTCGTCTAATATTTTGATCTAATAATTATAATATACTAATATAATAGCTGATATAATAAATAGTTTATATTTGTATAATGTATCGTCTTATTTATCCTATCGTCAAATATATATTGTATATCGTCCGTCAAATTTAACCCATTGATACGCAAACAAGTGCAAACCGGTTTCGGTCACATAAAAACAATAAAGTATCACGTGATAATTAGGATTTTATTTAGAATCTTAAAGTGCGTCTAATAATTTGGCCAGAGACTTTACTTTTCATAAAAAAACTAATTTTTGTGACTGAGTAAAATCTTTGCTGACCAACAACAACCAAAAATTTGAAAAAAGTTATATTTATTAAAGACCATTTTATAAATCTTACCTACTCCTGGGGCTAACATGTTGATGATGCAGAGTATAATGGAGAGGGCCAAAGGCATGCAGGGCACGGCTTTTCTAAACCGTCCATGCCTCTCATTCACACTCACTATTTCAAAGTTGGCTTTTTTGTCCGGTTCAGCACACGCCGCACTCACCACCTTGAGGACGAGGAGGCCATCGTCTGGCCTCTTGTGTACAGCGCGCTGTGAATAGCGACGCTGTAGGCTCTCTATGTGTCCATCGCTGCACGTTTGTGGAAGATAAGGGCGGGCGGATATGGTGGAGGCTCTCTGTAGGGTAGGGGGATTGCTGTAAAGGCACCTGTGCTGTTGATGTCTCATGCAGTGGGGGTAGAGGGGTGGCAGCACTCTGCAGCCGAAATCATCCCGACCCGAGCTATAACGGGCCGCTGTCATTCCCTCCGTTCTCTACTGCTGCGGCTATTGCAGTAGACTGCCGCTACATAGAGAGAGAGAGAAGTACTTGGCGGAAAAGTTTAACTCGGCTCCTCATTCCTCGCCAACATTTGGCTGCTGCAAAATTTAGGAAAGCTCTTTCCCGTTTCAAAAAAAGGATTTTTAAAAGAATCATTCGACAAACAAATCTTGTTTCTTTGGAGAATCTAAATTATTATAATCATTATTACAGGCTAAAATATTAGACGCACTCTAAGATTCTATGCAAAATATTATTAATCAGGTGATACAGCGCTTTATTGTTTTTACGCGGCTTTTGCACTTGTTTATATTCTTGTATCAATGGGTTAAATGAGGTGATATATGACATAAACTCGACGAGAGGACAAATTAGACGATATATTATACAAATATAGAATATTTATTATATGAAGCATTATATTAGTGTATTATAATAATTAGATCAACTTATGAGACGCACTGTATCATTTTAATAATGACATGATTTGCACGAGTTTGTATGCAATATTTTTATATTTAATGGGTTTTTATTCAGCATATACTTTCTATTTGTAATTAATTTTCAAAGTATTGCACTGCAATGTTAACCCATTGATAAAGGAACGTAAACAAATGCTGTTTCAGAGGCGAAAAAGCAATACAACTCTATCTGATAATTATAATTTTACATAGAATGGCTAATAATTTGGCCAGGACCTGTAATTAATTTAAGGTAGCCTTTCCTAAAATAAAACTTTACACTTATGCATTACTTACTTATAGTAAGACAGTGTTTCCCAAAGTGTGATACGCGTACCCCCAGGGGTACGGAAACAGTTTAGCGGGGGTACGCGCTCTTATGCGAATATCTTACAACAAAAGAAAATTTCCAAAAATTTTATTTAAAAACAAAGCTCTACATGAAAATTTAAAATTAAGTATTTTTCTTTTGGCTATTTTTTGCTGGGTTAACAGTTAATAATTAGTATTGTCAAAAGGCAGTTGTAATTTTTAACTTTTGTGCAAATTTTTTTATAGTAAAAAGTACATTAATTTTTTTATTAGGGTACACAGCGTCACGAAAAATTTAGAAAGGGTACACAAAAGTCATAAGTTTGGGAAACACTGTAGTAAGATATAAATTATTAACATAAAACTATTTAAGTGGTTTATTTGCGCATTATGTCTCAATATTTTATAATTGTTCATTTTAACACAAAAATAGAAAAAAATGAAAATAAAGTGTTATCTACTGGGTGGAAATAATTCTTATCACTCATTTCCCCAAGAAAATGTTTTATTAATTATTTATTCCAACAAAGAATGTTTCAGAGATAAGTAAAAGTTTGTACATTTAAATACTTTCTTAAGAAGTTTATAATTTTTATGCCAACACAAGCGTTTAAATAAAAAATAATAAAACTAATTGCTATTTTCCCAAAAATTAGTGTCACGTGCTCTTATGCTTTTTTTTTAAAATTTAAAAGCAGAAATTTAAAAAGAACATAACTCTTTGCATAATAATGTTGCATTGAAATAAATTACCTTGTTTATACAGGGGGATTCTAAAAGGCCGCTGCAGGGAAAGTTCGTGATATGACCTATCTTTTCTTAACCGTTGTACTGCGTGCCTAGCAGCATAGCCGCTGCCAACCACTGTTTTGAACATTTATTGTAATCACATGCCATTAAATTTGCTTTTATAACTTGCCCTCATCGTTCTTTGTGTGTTTTTGTCTCATATAAGAACATAAACTTTGACGCCGGTTTTGTTTTCGACCATGCATTCTCTGATAAAAATTGCTTGCTTGGGAGTTGCCCATTTTTTTAGAATCACCCTGTATAGCTTTTCATCTTCTTGGAGGAATAATAAAACAAATAATTTTTCCTGCTATGGTGTCACCATAGAAAATTTCTATTTTACAATTTATTGTTTCTCCCCTATAAAACTAAAATTAAATTTAATGAATGAATTAATATTTGTATTAACATGGAATTTAAAAAAGGAAAATGCTTGATATTCTTTCTTATGCAAACGAATACAAAAAGGTATTTCCTCTTTTTAGAGAAGGAACATCCCAAACACAAGTGAGAAATATTTGTACATAAACAGAAAAAAGAGATGTATATTCTTATAAGAGTTAAAACCTAATGCCCGAGAAATTGTTCTACTAAATTTAATGATATAACATGAAAGGCCTATTTAAACTTATGAATAATATGCACACCTGTTCTATAGTTTTCATAGTTTTATGAATTCATAATTTTATGAATCATATTACTTCAAAAATTAAAATGAACAGAAAGTAATATACATGAGCCTCATAATTTTATAAAGTTTAATTGTATAAAAAAAGTTTCTTGACAAAAATTTTTATTAAAAAATTTTAGGTTTCCATAAAAATCATTATTTAGAAACTAAAAAACGTACAATAATGAATGCTTAAGAAAAAAAAAATCTTTTTTGACGCCATTTTTTAGAGGTAAGAAAATTCGTCTTAGGGATTTGCCAAAAACAAAACAAGATGCAATTTTATTTTTTCAGGAGCGAAATATTTTACCACAAAAACGAAAATGTATCGATTCCCATGACATGAAACTTTATCTTGGTAAACGTACGTTTTGGAAATGTTGTTTAATTTTTTTTTCTTTTTTCTTTTTCTTTGAGGTGAGCAACATTAACCACGCCACAAACCCGTTCATAGGGCGGGCCACATTCACACACAACAGAGGACAACACAGAGAGAAACATCTATGCCCAGAGCGGATTCGAACCCGCAGCCATTGGCTTCGCAGTCAGGCATGCTAACCGCTCGGCCACCTGGCCGGCATGTTGTTTAATTTGGAATCTTATTTATTAGAGTTATTATGGCGACAGAAATAGAGATTGTTAAGATAGAGAAGAAAATAGAGATTATTTTAAATCTATGTTAAACTCTATATCGGCTCATTTCCCACCGAAATCCGATTGACTACTTTGATTTTAAATAAAGTGTTTCATTTTATGATTTGTCGCAAAAATTTTAGGCGTAGATTGGCAGCACTTAAAAATCGCCAAATCTGTAGCTGCGATGGCGTTAATACATAAGTACCGAATTTTTACTCATACTTTTCTAAATCATATTACTTCAGACGTTAGAATATGCAATAAGTATACATAAACACATAATGTTATACCATTTATGTTTTCAAAAAAAGTATTTTGACGACAATTTTTATCTAAAAAACGTAAAACAAAGAATTCTTAGGATAGAAAAAAAATTTTCAAAATTCCTCAAGTCGAAATAAAAAACTTTCATATTGTTTATTTTTTTTTATTCTTACAGTTCTTATTCAGACGTAAAAAACCATTCTGTAGAGAACTATCATCAAATAGGAAAAAAAATATTTACAAGCAAATTTTTTATTATAAAAATCATAACACTCACCTGTTTTATAAATCTGCTGAATTCCAAATGAAATATTCTTCGTTTGAAAATTTTATTTTCAAATAATATATGCATAGATTATCCATTTATTACTTTTCGATAACATATCACACATCAAAATTTTATAATTGTAAGATCTCGATATAAATTTGAATATGTAGCTTAAAAACAGAATAGCTGAATTCTAGTTGTAATTATTCTTTCAAAACTAAAAAATACTTACCAAGAAAACAATAAAAATTTATTAATAATCAGCACAAATGAAACTATTTCAAGTAGTTCGGATGATTCTTTATTGTTGTTTTCCGAATTATATAGATACAGAAATATATACTATTCTATAAAGAAGAAGAATATTATATCACTATTACAGTTCTGTACGTTCTGAATTCACTTTATTCATTGGAATGACGAAAGCAATGTTGACTTCACTTTAATTTGTAATGAATTGAAGAGAGAAAAAATTATTTTACCGTAATACACGCATCTGTAACAGCGAGTGATCATGAAATTGGAAGTTATGTTGCTGGTAATAGAAAGGTAAAAATTATTGAGAAATTGTTCTTCAAATGCTCGGCGTGTTCTGGTTCAATATTTGGTATGTTCCGGATAGTTTTTTCAAGTTCTTCTACCTTTTCCTTAGGACTACCTTTCCTTTCCTGATAAGAAAATAGCGTCCGTCATTGCCAATGGTTATGAGGGGACTAATGGCCGATATTTTCAGGCTCCCGCTGGAGGGCGTACTCCAGCGTTGCGATCGCGAATCGAAATTACCCGGCACAGCGAATGTGATCCATAAACTATTTTTTTGCTCAAATAGAGTTATAAGTTAGAAATTATCACTGATGTTATCTTTAAAATATGAGAAAAACTGAATCGCTTATAGTAAAATTTAAAACAACGACTAACGGTTTACGATCAGAAAATTCCATTTCGTTCATCCCTATTCAATGAATGAATTAATATTTTAAAAAAACTGTATTAACATTGCACTACAAGTTTAAAAAAGTGTATTGAATGGTTGAATAAAAAGTATTTTATTTATGATTGAAAATTTGAAGAAGATATAGGCAGAGAGTGTGAAACTAATAGTAAGATTTGAAAGTGGAAAAAAAGGAAACAAAAATTTATTAGTAGCTGTGAATTTACCGACAAATCAAAACTACTAATTTTGTAAATATTTAATACATAAAAATTCTCCTTTTGTGTATTATGAAATAAGCTGGGTGATGGACGATTTTAAAAAATACATAGTTTTCGAGAATAGTTGTAAATAGTTATAAATTTTGCTTATTCCACTTTGAATTGAAACGCCAGAAATGAAATACTAATGAAATTTTTATAATTTATTTAACCCCTTCCCTTACTAATTTTTTTGAAGAAAAAAAATGCAAAAAATCAACATATTTTTCTATTTCAGTGATAAATACAAAGAGCTCGTTTTAAGTTGAAATTTTAATTTTTTTTTGTTTAAAAAATATTTAANCTTCCCTTGCTAATTTTTTTGAAGAAAAAAAATGCAAAAAATCAACATATTTTTCTATTTCAGTGATAAATACAAAGAACTAGTTTTAAGTTGAAATTTTAATTTTTTTTTTTTTGCTTAAGAAATATT